TCTCTGCTATATAAGCCCAACCATTATTATTATATTATAATGTGGATTACTTGGCACATTGAATTGATCTTTTTCCTTTTTTTTTATACAAATGTGCAGGAAGGTACAAAGGAGCTGAATCTGAACAACATGCTCTCACTATCAATGGATGGGCCCGCTGTAAACTGGAAGTTTGTTGAACTCTTACAAGAGGAACACAGAGAGCAGTGTGGTGGAGCCCAACTACAAATAATTGGGAGTTGTGGCCTTCACACGATGCACAACTCGTTCAAGAACGTCTTTGCAGTGTGGCAAGTTGAGAAAGTCCTGAAAGCCCTGCACTACCTGTTTCATTGTGCACCTGCAAGGAGAGAGGACTTTGTGTTAGTGACAAAGTGTGATACATTTCCTCTGCCATTTTGCGGACATCGATGGCTGAAAACCTTCCAGCAGTGGAGCGAGCCATTGAAATTTGGCCATATATTGTCACCTATGTGGATCAGGTCAAAGCCAAAAAGCTGCCCAATCCAAGGTCATCGTCATATGACACCATCGCAGAAGCCCGGATGGATCACTTCATCTTGGCAAATTTACACTTCTTCATGAGTGTCTCAAGAAGTTTTCAGCCATTTCTCACCAAGTATCAGACAGATGCCCCGATGATTCCCTTCCTCGGCAGAGATTTGGAGGATCTAATCAGGGTAGGCCTAATGACTACTAAAAGTATATTAATGGTTTAATCATTCAAGCACCGTCATTTACAGAGGATATGAACAATAAAACAAAGTACTGAGTTTTCAGCATGATGATGTTTGTAGAAAGTATTGTAAATACTGTAATACTTTTTCTAATTTTGTTTATAATTATTATGCTTGTGCTATTCTATTTTCAGAGCCTTCTCAGACGCTTCATAAAGCGAGACGTCCAGGTTGATGTTTCCCCAGCAAAGCTGGTCAAGCTTGATGTGACAGACCAAAAGCTTTGGGTCAGTCCAAAGCAAGTGGACATTGGCATGGGAGCCACAGCTGCCCTCAAGGTAATATTTATCTTAAAATACTTTATCATTGTGCTATATGAGCTGCAAAGTCACTTGACTAGTGAAGTATTTATGTTGAGAAATAAAGAGATCAGTTTAATTGTTTTGACATCAAGCAGTTGACCTTTTAATTGGATCTGTCAAATGTTGTGTAGTGTAAGTTACACATAGGGAGAGTTTATTTGATGTTTCAGGTGATGTGACTTTTGTGCTTTTGTCAGGGAATGTCAGGCAGTCAGAGTGGTGGAAGTGAGCGTGAGGTGCTACTGTTCATGCGAGACAGCCAGAGTGCCCTGTCAAAAATTTGTCAGAACATTTTATTGAAGTGCCCCCTGAAGTACCCCTCTGTCCGAAATATGATGTGCCTGGACCCCCAAAATATGCACAAAGAACCTGACATGTGCCAGCAAAAAATTAAGGCCCTCATCATGAAATTTGTGCAGGATAAGAAGCTGTCAGGAGGAGTCACAGCGGGTAACATCTTTAGACATATCAGAAATGTGAACAATTAGCCTAGTGTTTATCAAAGGGAGTCTTATTTTAGGTATCATACTAGCCTATTATTTTGCAGTTCATTTTTGTTTTATTTTATTGGAAATACAGCCTAGTATGAGTTATAATAAATGTATGTAGGCCTAATATATGTTCTTAGACATAATAATTGAAATATAGTTAAAAATATGAGATGCATTTTCCAGAGTATAGTGAAAATAAATCTCTTGTGACAACAAAGTATAATTTTAACTAGAAAATATTACAGATGTGCTTGTCTTTATCTAAATGCAGGTGATAAGATTGCCCAACAATTTCAGAAGTTCCTCTTCAGTGAGGCCAGAGGAGAGGAATTCATGGCCTTCAGTGCATTGGATGGAAAATTGCGAGTTGACAGCTTCCTGCATAAGGCCATGAATGGATATGCAGAACTTTGGAGCTTTGTGGAAAAGCTGCTGCTTCTGTCCCATGGACAAGCTACTGTGGAGCGTGGGTTCTCCATAAATAAGGAGGTGGAGATGTGCAATATGAACGAAGACACTATAGTCTCACAGAGATTAATCTGCGACTATGTGAGGATGTGTGGTGGAGTGGTCAAAGTGCCTCTAACTAAAGAGCTGCTAAATGAGTGTGCATCTGCACGCAACCGGTACAGGATCTTCTTGGAAGATGAGAGGAAGAAAAAGGAAAAGACAAAACAGATGATCAAGAGAAAAGGGTTTGAAGATGAGCTTGAAGAGCTACGCAAGAAAAGAAGAACAATCTCAACTGTGTGTGAAACTCTAGAAAAGGATGCAGATGTCCTTGCAGAGAAGGCTGAGAATACAGCAGGGACCAAGATGGCAGAACTTATCACTAAATCCAATTCCATGAGAAAAAGATGCAAGGAAAAGAGAAGGGAGTTGGTGGACCTAGACCATGAAATTGAGAAGAGAGCAGCAGAGCTGCGCCACATGTCTTGAGGAGAATTTGGGATGTTACGAAACAAAGGGTTTCTCTCAGTAAAAGTCATGTAATAACATTTGTGTTTTCTAACAGTTATGTAGATTATTTGTCAACTTTTTGGCTTGTGAAAGGCTGTGTTGAGGACATTATTGAGCTTATTTTCAGTATTCTAAATGGTTCCTTCATACAAGGCATTGTGTTGTTTAGTGTAATCTAACTTATCTGTTACGTTGGCTCTGTTCTACATCACAAAGGAACAAAAAATAAAAAAGGTTTCAAAGAAAAGTATTTTTACTTTTTTTACTTACCGAGTTTACACATTTCACATAATTGATACCAAATGGAAAGCTTTTAAGTTTTAATTTCCATTGTAGGAGGCAATAAATTGAGTAGCCTATTCCAAAGAAATCTTGACATTTTTGGGTCTTAAATTATATTTGTTGAGGTCTTAAAAAGGTCTTAAAAAGCATTAAATTTTACTTTTAAAATGGTGCAAGAACCCTGTACAACTGCTTTGCAACCAGGCCAAAATCTTTGGCTCAGTTTAGCTAAGGGAATGTTATTGGGTATGGGAAGGAATGAAGATGTATTTCTTCAGTTTATTTTAAATTCTATATTATACTGTATTAATAGTATTTCTAGTTAGCAGAGTGCTCTTGGTAATATTGTATATCCTGTCAAAACATACAGTAGCCTAATCATTGCCATTGCATTTGTATTTTTCAAAGATGTCAGGGAAAAATGCAAAAATATTTGTTTTTCCAAACATTTTGGAGCAATTTGTTATATATTTGTAGCCTAATTTTGAAATGTAACATTAAAGAGTAGGCCTATATTTGATGTGATGAATTGCTCTGTCATTTATCAGATTTACCAATTGTTATAATTTCAATTTTTGCTGGTTAATTATGAACAATGGGTAAAATTGGGGGCGGGGCTAGGCGGGGGCGGGGCTCCATTTAGGCTCCTCCCCTAACCGCATGTGATCTCACTCCAAGCTTTTGATAAAACTTGAGAACCCTGTAGTTTGTTAAAACCACTGTTTGCATTTTGCCTTTATTTTTTACTTTACAATGAACAGAATTCTGCTATAATCCCAGACTAAGGTTGGTTACAATTTAACTTTCTGGATTGTTTTGAAATAAAGTTTTGAAAGAGTAATATAGAGTGATGTGTTTATTTCAAAGTGAATTTATTCTTTTCAGATTAAATGATTTGTCAGTTTATTTTACAGTTCTTTAAAGTAGGTAATGCAGAACCCTAATAAGAAAAACGGGTAACTCCTTTAGTGTTGTTTTACTTTGTAAAAAGGTGTTCTATCAACACCAGGATGGTGTAATACTCGACTCCTAAGGCTGAGAAGAATTCCATGATGAATGATTTTCATCTTCTTTTAAAGTGTTAGGTCGACACCAGAACAGTGTAGAATTGTAACTCTGCCAGTGTTTGCCACAAAGCTGCACCCAGCTCTGCAACAGTGTTGTTGTTCTCTGCATTGGTGGTCATATTTTACTCTTAGTGTTCATATTGTAACACTGTGTCAGTGTTGCGAGAGGAAACACTTTTGAAAGTATTGAGATTTCCAGATTTAAAATTTACTGTCCAAATCCTGAAGGAAAATGACCAGTCCTCATAAAGGTCAGAGATATTTTGACACTAGGTATTTCTCCAACCAGCTTCTGCACTGTACAATTTCCAAATTTGCAAACTTCATATAAGTGATGTTGGTCATCTAAACATGAAATCTGTATGACACACTTTATATAACACGTATAAAAAAAATGACACAAAATGTGTATAAATCCTATTGGACTTTAATTTGACTAGCATATGATTCAATATAAGAACTTTAAATGATTTGTATATGAATTTAAGTTATTTTCTACTAATACCATATACGATTGCATATGTTTGTCATGTAAAACTCATATGATTCAATATAAGAACTTTAAATGATTTGTATATGAATATCGGGTGTTTTCTACTAATACCATACACCATTGCATACTTTTGTCATGTACAACTCATATAAGACTTTTTACAGTATTCATATATGATGCAAAAATCCCCTATAAGTTGTATGTGTGCTATTTAGTATGAAAGGGGCCATAATCGGTCTGATTTTGTATAGGACATGTATTGGTCTTACATGAAACACATAAGGTAATTCTGTCCAATTTAAGTAAGGAAGATATATGGTTGCTGTATATGAACCATGCAGGTTTTTTTCATATGGGTGCTCTCTCTCTCTGTCGCTATTTCTCTCGGTCTCACGGTCGAAGTAACCATGACAACGGATAGCGTATCCTACCAAGATGGCGAATCCTTCCCACAATGCAACGCGGAGTGATACGCGTGACGTCACCTTCTCATTCTCAATCTGTCACAATTGTTGTAAATAAATAAGGATTAGATCATTAATGCATTGATATATTTGTGAGTAGTCTGGATCTATACCATCACAAAATTGACATTTTTGTAGTACATACATGCTTTGCTTTTTATGTTTTGTCTTTGTCCTGTGTTATGTTTGTCTTTAAATGTACAGTGTGCTCCCCACTTTTTCCACCACTTAACCCTATTGTTGCTGATGACAAACTTCAATAATAATGATGGCTTTAAATTCCTATAAAGGTCTTAAAATAATTCATTTAAATATTAGAAGCCTTAGGTCTAAAATAGATCTTCTAAGAGCCTGGGCAAGTCACAATAAACCTGATATCATCACAGTCTCTGAAACATGGCTATTGTGGCGTATCTAATAATGATGTTGAAATGGATGGTTACTTGTTATATAGGGTTGATAGAGGGTCAAGAGGAGGTGGAGTGGTCACTTACGTGGGCTCCAACTTGTGTTCTCAGTATTCTACCCCAAAAATTGGTCCAATTGATTTTGAATGTGTTTTTGTTGATATAATATTACATGTAAATAAATCACTTACAATAGGGAACATATACAGACCGCCCTCAGCCCCCTCTGGCTCTATGAAGAAGATATTGTCAACCCTAAGCTCCTTAGAAAAGAATAATGAATGTATAATTCTAGGTGATTTTAACAGCAATTGGCTCGACCGATCTTCAGCAGGAGACAGAGATTTAATTAGTAGTGTGAACTTATCACAACTGATTAATAAACCTACCAGAGTAAATTTACAATCATCGACATTAATAGATTGGATACTTGTAACTAACCCTGAAAGAATATTATCCTCCGGAGTCATGTCAGATTGTTTAAGTGATCACTCTGTAATATATTGTGTGTGGAAAATCAAAATGTCTAAAGCACAACCTAAAGATATAACATTCAGACAGTGTAAATATTTTGATGTGAACCTCTTTAATGAAGATATGGGCAATATTAACTGGCAACGTCTCTCGCTTATACCAACAGTTAATGATGCATGGGATTTCTTTTACAGTGAGGTTATGAACGTGATTAATAAGCACGCTCCACTTAAAACAGTTAGAGTAAAAGGGACTCGTCTTCCTTGGATTAACTCAGAACTGATTTCTCTGTTTAAGCGAAGAGATGTTGCTTGGGCCAAATTCCGCCTTACTAGAAATCAAAGCGATTGGGAAATATACAGACAATTACGTAACAGTAGTAAAACTAAAACAAGGAATGAAAAATCTGAATATTATAAAAATAGCTTAAATAGAGAGTTTAAGAATCCAAGACAATTTTGGAATAAACTTAATACTTTACTTAACCGTAATAAAATTGGGCGAATTAATCAACTGAATATCAATAATGAAATTATACAGAACCCCACAATAATTACACAAACTCTTAATGAACACTTTGTTGCAGTCTCTCAAGCTAATAAGACCCCATATTCACATGCAACTTTCAAAAATTCCCTGCCCCAAAATCTTTTTTATTTTAAACCGATTTCACCTATAGATGTTTATCAAACTATAGGAAAATTGAAGTTGAGTACTGGTGCTGGACCTGATGGAATGGAATCCAAGTTCATAAAATACGCAGCACATATCTTGATGTTCCCTCTGGCAGAATTATATAATTTATCTATAAATTCAAACTCACTTCCACCAATTTGGAAGCTGGCTAGGGTATTGCCTGTTTTCAAAGGTGGAAAACCAGATGATTTGAATAACTACAGACCTATTTCCATTATATGTACAGTTCAAAAAATATTTGAGAAATTAATTTTCATGCAATTATGCGAATTTATTGAAGAACATGGTATCTTATCATCAGCACAATCTGGATTCCGACCCAATCACTCTACTACTACAGCTCTTCTCAACTTTACAAATGATGTATATACAGCATTTGATGAAGGAAAATATACTGGAGCCATTTTTATTGATTTCTCGAAAGCGTTTGATACAGTTGATCATTATTTACTCTTAGATAAATTGTATTCGGTTGGCTTAAGCCAAAGTTCTTTACTATGGTTTAATGCCTATTTACATGGTAGGCGTCAATACGTTGCATTACAAAATACATGCTCCACTAGTTTGATTATGAGTAAAGGTGTGCCCCAAGGCTCTGTGCTGGGGCCACTCCTATTTTCTGTTTATATTAATGATATGCCCAGTATTTGTTTATCCTGTAATGTTCATCTTTATGCTGATGATACAGTCTTATATACATCGTATAACCAGAAGGACCAAGTACAAAATGCACTTCAATCGGATTTTATTATTGTTCAGAATTGGCTCAGAGAGCACAACCTTTTTCTGAATGAGAAAAAAACTTGCACTATGTTGTTTAAACTGAGACCTTCTAAAGTTAATACGAATGAATTACAAATCTGTATGATTGATGGAAGATCTCTTGTAAATGTAAATACATTTAAGTACCTGGGTCTGTGGTTGGATACTGAGCTATCATTCAAAGATCATATTGATGCTACAGTTAAGAAAGTTAAACAATGTTTGTGTCAGTTGTACTGTTCAATTGATTGCTTTACAATTGATACAAGAAAGCGTATTGCGCAGCAACTCCTATTACCCCTAATTGATTATGCAGATATTGTTTATCACACATCAAGTGTTACTTCTCTTAAAGCTCTAGATTTTTTATTTAATTCCATATGTAGATTTGTTTTAAGGTATCCATTTATGACACATCACTGCACGCTATATGAAAAATTGGACTGGCTCCAACCTAAAGAAAGAAGAATGTATCACTGGTATATGTTTATTTTTAGTTGCATTAATTATGCCAATAAATGTCCCCCTTATCTTCAACAATACTTTGTCAGACATATCTCAGCCTATCCCATACGACATTTGCTACATCCATTTTTTGCTACACCTAGAATACATCGTGAAATTGGGAGAAGAGCATTTTATTATAAAGCTCCCATGGACTGGAATAACCTCCCATTGTCATTGAAATCTACTACATCATTACACTCATTTAAATCAGCACTATTTTTACATTTAAAAACACCATGTACATGTTTTAATTGAGGATTTTATTTTATTTTCTCATTAGAATGCTGTAGTGTCATGTGAACACCCTATGAGGCCGTATTACTGTCAATGTATTCATGTAATTTATTGTATAATTTGGGGGTGGTGGTGGGTCTTGGGGGGAACATGCTGTGAATGATGTCCTGTTGAGTTTGGTCTTTATTTATTTTTATCTTTATTTTATTTTTTACATATGTTATTGTGTATTGTTATGTTTTGAGCATGTGTGGCTCTGGTTGTTATTTTCAAAAAGTGATTGAAAGGACCCCCTTGAAAATGAGATGGTACATCTCAAGGGGCTATCCAAAATAAAAGAATAAATGAGAAGCACCCCCTGTTCTGATGACGCAAGAGTTCCAACTATGGCAGCTGAGGCCGTTCTTTCTTTTTTTGAAGAATTGTCGGAGCCTGATGAAATCGGTAGACGTGTTTAATACTGCAAAATACACCCGGATGTTACAGTCTATCAAAAATGTCACAAACTATCAAAACTTACCTCCGAGAGTGTGTTATGATCTATTTGACCTTATTATTTCTATTGTGAGTATTTGGCTTATCATTATTGCTGATCAGTGTTGATATGCTATATTTTTACTATAAAACTCTTGCGACAAACATGTCTTCTAATATCTTCAATTGTTGCGTGGCTATACCAAGCTGCAGCGGACACATTTGTAAACGACTTTACTTGAACCCAATGTGCAAGCTGTCTCTTTAATACCGTTTGGTTTACATGTTGCTGACATTTTTGAAACACCCACCAAACAAGAGAAAACCTCAAACCCGGTTGCACACTGTTTCCAGGAAACATGTCGTTCAACCCGGAAACCGTAGCAAAGGTTGCGCACAGGTTTACGCATTTTGTAAATGTAAGCAACTACTAGACGCACAAACTCAGTGCTGGTGCAGTGAGACGTACATGCTCGGCCAGATTCTGCTCGAAGTCGTGCATCTTCGGATGCGGAGCCGCGTGCGCAGTTACAAAAAGTGCCGTGCACACTGCCAAGCAAAATGGGGCCTTACCCACTCAACGCGCACGACCACCCACACCGTGATGACATCATTTTTGCTGCACACACCTAAAGGTTTCAGTTGGTCAATGGCGCAGTCTATTTCAGTTGCCTCAAAATAGCAACGCGCCAACAATGGGCCTGAACACACCTCGTTTTCAGACCAGCACGCCCATGGGCTAACAAATGGGCACAGATAGGCACAAATTTGCTATTTAAACAACGTGGTGCAGGACGTGAAAATGATAACTGCGTCGGGCTGAAACTAGCAAAAAACACTTGCGGGACCGCCGGGCGCTGCATTGCAACGGGTGTTTGATAGGGCCCAAAAGTGTTGTAGTTCAGTGAGACTGAAGTAGAACAGCAACCCATGACTCCTAGTGGTCACAAAGGAAAATGGCCAGACTGTCACACTGGTAGAATATTGCCTTTGAAATGTAGAAAGTAGCCTACTGTATAGCGTCACACACAGAGCAAGATTTTAAATCTCCAATTTGTTGGAAAATAATCTTAATTTTTTTAAACAGGCTTTGTGTTCCTTTATTTGTGTTCTGTTTTACTTAATTTTTTCTCACTTTTTCCTGTATTCCATTCTTTATATTTTCAAAAGAAAAAATATATATTTTCAAAAGAAAAAATATATATATTATACAGTACGGCATCATGTCCGATGAGTTAAACATACTGAATCCAGAGTAATTAAAGTAACTATTAAACTATCAATGTTACATAAACTGTAGGTGTCCACCTATGATACTGCTGAAGTGTGATGTATATAGGCTACACTGGCATAATCTGATGACATCTTCATATCACGCTCTCTAAAATATATACATTATTTTGACTCACCATGTTCAGTGGTTTTTAAAAAAAAATTCATTATAGTGATATAATTATATTATAGTTAGGCGGTTTAGTTTGCAATTATAGTGGAGACTTATGTGCTTATCTCCACTTCGGTACTCAAGCCTACCTGTTTATTATCTTTAGGCAGGTAAACAAAGCATGTGGATATATTGGTTATGAACAGTGTCTGACAGCACTGTTAGTGGCCCTGCAATGCTATTGTGTGTGTGTGTGTGTGTGTGTGTGTGTCTGTGTGTGGTATCATTTTACTCTCCCAGGGGATCATCACATGACTGGTTAGCTTTCTGCTGATTGGAAGAGAGAACTGGAAAAGACAGGAGAGAGTTTCAAAGCTCTGAATGAAAAACACATGGAGAGAGACAGAGGAAGGGAGCGAGTGGAACAGAGAGAGAGAAAGAGATTGACTAAATCCTGCTCAGTGAAAGAGGGGGAGCACATTCACACCCTTTAGGGGACTCACAGGAAAGGAGCGAGAATCAGAAAACCAGTCAGATATCGTATTCAGTCAGTGAAAGAGAAACATGTCCAACTCAATCCTGCGAAGACATTCCAGCAAAAAGGGATTAGATAACCTCAAGAGGTGAGATGTTCTTCTTTTGTTTGTGTGTGTGTGTGTGTGTGTGTGTGTGTGTGTGTGTGTGTGTGTGTGTGTGTGTGTCCAGCCATTTGGTCAGAAATGTAGTCTTTGATCTACAGAGTCACACCAGTTGTTTTTGCCTCTAAATGGAGTATGCTGCAGTTCATTCAATCTTGTTTTATGAATCTTGACTTTTATAACCTAAATGATGATTTTTAAACTCTTATCATGCTGATAGTAAATGATCTGTTTTATCTAGAAGTGCTGGGTAGCACCAGACTGTCATTAGGACAGTTTATCAGGCAGGACAGGGGGGTCAAGAGGGGAAACACAGCGCATGAGTTCTTCTGCTGTTTATCAGTTCTTCAGTGTGTTTAGGGGGAAGGGTTAAAATTATTGTCGGTTGTTTTGCGATCTCTCTGTATTTCATAAAAATTTTATAGTCAAAGAATCCATGGATGCAGATATAGTGAGACCCAAATCATCTGGGCTTCCCAGGTGTTTTGAGGGTAGATTATTGTGTTGTTACATAGTTTTGAGTGATGTCATGAAATGAAAATGTGTCTGTCTTTGAGGAGGTGTCTGTAGTTAAAGTAAAATCTGTCCCAAAGCTGTCCTATATGGCTGCTGTTCACACGGCACATGGTGAGTCAATTCATGACATCATATGGAATGTCAATGACAGGCTTCAATAGCTTCTTTTATTACTGGAATTTTCCTCAGAGTGGTGACATCATCAGATCACCCCCTTCTCTAAATCTGCTGGATCTGCGATACAGAGCGGCCCCCACCCACTCTGCCCTAAGGACCTGGAGATCCTCTAAAGTTAAACTGTGCCGGAAAAATTGAGCCGTTTTACTACCCAGCCACTCACACTGGGTTTATTAAACAAAGGAAATAGTGCAGTTGTTATTGATGTTATAGGTTTAGGCTATATCTGCTTCAATGCTTGCTATGTTCATTTACTCACTCAGTATGATATGTTTTGTAACAGATTAAAATTTGTAAGCAGAATGTGAGTAGTTGAACAGTTTGACTAACTACTTTGTTTTTAACTATAATAGTCTAGAGATGTATGTGTTTTTCTTCCTCCGTGTGTCCATGTGTAACATAATATGATCATGGAATTAAGATTTACTGAACTACTGTTTACTTGGAGAAGGACTTTCAGAATGTTTGTTTGATAAGCTCAGTAGATAAACAGAGTTAAAATAAATACAGTTGCAATGAGAACACCTCAGTTGCTTATTTAGGACAGGTTTAAACACAATATTATCAATCAGTGCATCAGTTCCCAGAGGTGTGTGTCGTGTATAGCAGGAGAGACTTGTGATTTAATGGGTGATTGTGGAAAACTGCCTGGCAATCACACACCTCTGCACAATTATTGTAAATATTTAGTAAAAGGTGTTGTTCCCGTTGTTTTGTTTAGTTCCTGTAATGTCAGCCCCCATAAAGGAAGCCAGTGAGCCATTTCCTGTCAGTGTGAACCCTGCACTTCCTGTCCATGTTTAACTTACTTCCTGTCCATCTCAGACCATACCTTCTGTCAGATGACCCCTATCGTTGTCATAGTAATGATGATGCGCTTGTTCTGAAGATATATACATATCAGCTTCTGTTTACAACACAAATGCAGCATTCTTGATTTAGTTATCGTAATTATGTTTTAAAAACATAGTAATTGTGAATGTTATTATTATTCATTTGTCATTATTTGTTCCATTGTCTTTGTGTATACAGGATCACTGTGCAGCGCAGTCTGGAGGATGCAGAAGAAATTGAGAGAGAACAACGACGGCGTGCAAGAGCCAGTACCTCTACTGAGGCTTCTCAAGCTACTGCACAGACTCTGGACAACCAGTTAGTTTCAAAAACCTAAAAGCATACTCCAGTCTTCATCAAATACTTAAAAGAAACTGTGTTGTGTGTATTTGTTTTGTTTCCATGGAATCCCAACCCCCAGATTGTGGCTCAAGCCAACTTTCTCGGTCTTAGTCATTGTGTTGTGTTAATCTGTTTGTGAGTTTGTATGTGTATATGTGACAAGACCACACCTGTTCTTCTGATTCAGTCTTTTATTCTATTCTATTCTATTCTATTCTATTCTATTCTATTCTATTCTAAACAGACTCAACTGTTGTAAGTAGACTAGTTCTTCTATTGGTAACTTAGTGAGAGACAATTCTGAAAATGTTTCACTGTTTGTTAGGGGTCAGAATGATGTGGTTTCAAACTCTCCTCCATCCTCTTTGGAAGAGGACGAAGGCTTCAGTGATTGGACACTTCTGAGCAGGCGCAAAGAGGAACAAATGGAACATAAAGATGTAAAGAAACATCTCAACGGCTCTCGTCCCTCAAAACTCCAGCTCTGTTCCAGCTCTGCTCAACATAGTAAACTGCATGATTTAAACGTGTTTGACAGCACCCCATTTATACAGACTCGACCCCCCTTTTCAAATCAGCAAAACCTGGATGAGGATGGTAATGATGAAGACTGGGGTGGCAGAGAGCAGGAAAGAATGGCTAATATTAAGGCAGCAGAGAGGGAGGAGGGAGAGATCAGACGGTGGTGTGCCGAGGAGGAGGATCCGAGAAGGATGAAAGGTCATGAATCATCTTTCTGGAAGAAACAAAATCAGAGCTGTAATATAGATGAGAAGGTACAATATTTAAGAAGACATTTAACCTCAACTCAGTCATGCATCAAAATCAGTCTTTCAAAGGTGCCTACTGTAAGTACTTCATGCAGCGAACATACAAACTTCTGAATCTTTTTTTTTTCACAGAGAGAAAAAAAGGTAGAGATGAAGATATCCTACACCTCCACAGTCCTCCTCCAACAGAATGGGAGACAGTACAGCACAAATGGACAAGAGGGGAGGAGAATAAATGACAGGTACAGGCGTAGACAGGCACACACTTCACAACAATACAGCTCAGTTTGTAAAATTATTTTCATTCATGCCATTATTTTCAGAGCTTCAAACACATGAATGTATTTATAGGTCATTCTTGTTATGCAGCACTTCTTCAGCTTTTAAAGCTAAAGTTTCCAGGATGGAAACAAATATCTAGGGCTGGTTACATAAAATGCGTAGACAAGTCTTATAAGTTAATCATCTAATTTTTTCATTAAAGACTTGTCAGAACTTTAAGTCAGTTAATTAAAAAAAGACACAGTCTTAACATTGTGGGTGTGTTTATGCAAGTAGCCACTTAAGCTAACTTTTGCTCATTGAGGGGTTGAGAGTTAGTTTACATGAGGGTGTCAACTTGAAGTTAACTTTAATCATTTTTAAATTGAGCTCTAAATGACATTTTGGGACGAGCTTGTTCATCTAATCCTGTCAATCACAATTTTAAAGCAATTTGTGACTGCTTACCTCACTCGTCACTCCCGTGACTGTTATGAAAAATCATCTGACATGCTATATGGAGACATAGCTATGCAGGAGAACAGTTTGAGAACAGTGTGCCAATGATTGGGCAGCAATCTGTGTTGAGAAATGACATGATAAAATCACAAGTTTCACAACTTCCCCAGAACTAATGTCCTTCCTGAGTACAGCGCTTTTAATCTTACTCAGAGAAGTGAAGATAGAGAGTAACATGGACACAGTCGATTCAACAGCTCTCAGCAGTCCAGAGAGGTAAAAACTCAAATAAATGCATTTTAGGTAGAATACTTTTTTCATGAATCATTTCCCTTTTTCAATCTTGTTGTATTTAGTGTGACGGAGGAAGTGTTTGTGAATAACAGTGAAGAGAACCAGCAGCACAGAGAAACAGAGGATCAGACTCATGAGGAGGTGCGGAGGATGATGAGAGAGGAGGAGAGAGAGAGGAAGAGGAGGGATGTGATGGAGAAGTTAAAGAGGTTGAGTATATCCAGCGGAGATCCAGAGGAGCCTTTCAGTCCCCTCAGCCCCAGGAGCCCCTCCTACATGGTATGACATCATCACCATCAGACACCTCACACCTCAAAATGACATTATAATTAAAGATTTGTTACATATATGAGCACACATGCTTGTTAAATAGTATTCAAATTAAAGGTAGGGCAGGTCGTTTTTGGTCTAAAAAACTTTTTCCCAAATTTGTTTAAACTTTCTATATATATCAATGCATAATTAAAATGTAAGTACTCTAATAAAAAGAGTATAAAAATCGAGTGACTCTAGACCGTTTAATCTGCACTAAACACAGCTCATTATTTCCTTTGGGACGAAACAATGGATTGGCTTAGGCGACTGTCACTCTCTCGCAACCATGGCAACACCCCCGCTGCTACATGCGCTGCCCACATGCGCGCACTCCTTTGACTCGAGGAGGGTAAGAGACTAGTAAGAGACACAATTACATGCAAAACACGGCGTATATGTTAGGAATCTTACACGAAATTCACCTTCATCACAGTGTAACTGATTGTAATGGGAAAACGTGTATCAATGCAACCTGTTTTTAGCTTTGCTTTATGTTACTAGCTCGTTAACGAATCAAACTCAATATATTTTAAACTTTACCAGTATCGATATGCTAGCTTGATAGTGAGTACCAACAGCCATGTTAGTTGTTTATATTCATAATGATAAAGTTAGGTATTTTATTACATGTGAGTCTGACATGATGTCACTACATGCACTGCTCCTCTCCGCTGGGCGCTGGTAAGCGCGTCCTCCAGCTGTGAGCTGTCGGCATCGCGCGTTCATGTGTTTTGGGGGCGTGGTTTTGGAAGGAGCCCAGAATGGAGGGGGTGGAAGTGAATGGAGATAAGTAGCTGTGTTTATTACAGCCCTGAGAGGACTACAGACACTCGATTTTTATACTCTCTTTTCCAGAGTACTTACATTTTAATTATGCATTGATATATATAGAAAGTTTAAACAAATTTGGCAAAAAGTTTTTAAAAAAAATCCTACCTACAATACCTTTAACATTAACACAGTTTTTTAATTGCTGATGACCTGGCATCATTATTTAAATCACATTATACCATGGTCTGGGTGAATACTCGATTCTGATTGGCTGCAGGGTGTCCATTAAAAAGTGATAGAGGACACCTAGTAAAGGAGTTCTGGTGTAACCAGGGAAACCAAGTTATTGTTTGTAAAAACTTTAGATTTCAGTTGTAAAACTAATTAAAATATAAACTAATGTTTTAAAAATGTGTTATTTGGCAAGTGACCATGGTATAAGCGGGTTAATGCCCTTCGAGGTGTCCATTGTATTAATGGACTTCGGCGGAGTCAAACCAAGAACGACGTGCTAAGTGAGCTCAACTGTATGAAGTTCAGTGAACTTCTGAACTGTATGAATGGCGTTCGTGGTTTGATTAGTCGAGACTGTTTTCCAAAGATGGCTCCTGTCTGTATACACGAAGTGGACTGTCTTTATCTTTATCTTCTTATTAAACGGTCTGTACACTTACAAAGTTCTCAATGCTTCGTTTTGCATGTTGGGACCCTCATTATGTTACTGTGTTCGTGTGGGGCTATTTTGAGCCTTGTTAGTGGTATAAACTAGCGATTTCTTTTTACTTATTAAATGCCCTCATTACTAGCGTTATACGCTAAACAGTTTTTAGAGATAAAACTCTTTACATTCGATTATCATGAAAACAAATCTCAGAGAACGGTTGACTAGGTACCAATGTTTTATTAGACCAAAGGTTCATTTTGCGCCAGAGTTCTCCTTTAATACCTGACAAGTCCGCTGCGCGTCAGACGGTTCACGCCTCGCCGTCGTCCATTAATACCTGACAATGGACACCTCGTCGGGCATTAACCCTTACATGTTTACCTACAAAACAAATGAAAACATCTGGAATGATTAGTTTTATTGAGTGTCAATGATGTATACATTAATGCTTTTTGCATGTGTTGGTCTGAGTTAGGGCTGTCCTGCAGAGTTTAGCTTCTACCCTTATTACAGTTTTTTTTCTAATTGCTTACACACAATTTCTGAAACTATGGCTTAATTCCTTGAAACTCTACACACAAAACAGACAATCAACGTGCAAAACATCAGATATCTCTTGCAAAAGCAAACACTTAATTCAAAACTATTTTAACTCTTCCAAAAATTGTGTTTTTGCGTAGTAACTCTACACACAAACATCAAATGATCAACCACATACACGCCAAACTGCACACAGATGTTAAAAATGTAAAACATTACTATATTGTGTCTTTTGCTTGTTCAGTGTGCAGTGCAGTTACAGGAGTTTGTCACACGTACATGTATGTGCACAAATACACTGTATATACAGTATGTATGCACAACTGATGAATTTTACTGAACTGAATCATCAGTAAATGAATGTGGCATTTAAATGGCAGTGTTTCCCAAATAAAACAAAAGAGCTGTTAGTTTTGAATGATATATGTAATGTGTTTAGAGTTTTGCAAAAAGTTTGTTTTACAATAGCAAACTGAGTGTAAAGCGTATAGTGAGCTTGTAGTTTTGCAGACTTGGTCTGAAGATTTGGTACACGAGTGAATGGTGTCACTGAGTGAGCCTCAAGTTCCACTTTTAGTGTCTAAGCAATTTGAAAAAACTGTAAACACACCTTAATCAGCGAATCAGGGTCTTCAGGACAAAGACTGTATATATAACAAGATGTTTCACTCAGATTATTATGAATGGGAGAAACATGCAATATGGCTAAATCCGCCTTTTGAGTAAAAAAGCCAACTGGGTTACAAATCACTGAGGCTACAAGGAAGGCTTAATGCACAGATCTGGGCCCGGTTCCCCAAAACGTTCTTATCGCTAAGTAGTTCTTAACCTATTCCTTAACCTCTCTCTTAACCTTATGGCTCGATTCCCGACACGTTCGTACACTAAGTATATCTTCTGTAAGTCACACTTTCGTAAGGTTGGTCTGGACCATTCGTAAGCTCTCTCTTAGCGTTGTTTGAGCTCAAGACGCTAGTCGCCGCCACTGTGCAGCAGTCTTTAGAAATCAGCGCAGCGCAGTACAAGTCAAACTATGGCATGTTGACAATGTTGTGTCTCAACGATGATTTTATATTTTATGGACATTTTAAGACTAATAATAAAATAGGTTCGCAATGGAAACAGGCCTATTTAAGAAGTTGACTTTATTTGGTATCAGAACTAATATGGTGGTAATTAGCCGAGGCTATTTCGTAATGTCATTAAAGAGTTTAAATTGGCAATCACTTTTGATAGGCTAATTAAAATCTGGCAAACAATTTGGCTCTAAATGGCTAAGATCTATAAATGGGTAAGCATGGTGGTGTCTAGTAACTGACCAACTACCGGTATGTCACATTTTTTCAAAACTCTACACACAATTCCCAAAACTTCACACACAAAATGCAAAATGCCTCACATCTCCTTCAAAAATGTCATAAACACATGTAAGAATGAAACATTTGCATCAAATGGCAAACATTTATTTCATAATAGTGCATTTTTGGATATACCTTGTAAACATTGTTTTTCTAAATCTAAAGCTCTTTGGTCATTCTTACACTTATATCTACATTTCAATACAATGTTCTACAGTGAAAGTAATCTTCTGAGAGGGGTAACAAGTACACTGTAATCACCAATGCAATGTAGAAACAGAAAATATTTATTAGGCCAAACATTACTGTTGTATACAGTAGCATACAACAAAACCATAAACATATGTAAACCAAAAGTATATTCTTTAGAATACAGTAAAGAACACAATTGAGTGTGGGGGGTCTCTGTGTTGGCATCCATTGTTCAAACAGGTAATCTGACCTTTGACCTATCATAGGCTTATACTACAGTAAAGCAGTGATTGGTTAGTGATCAGTAAAGCAATTAGTGTTTGCACATATGAGGAGTGTGTGTGTGACCTGGTGAATAAGTGTAGCATTTCGATTGGTTGTGTTTGGAAAAGGAAAGCAAGTAAATTCCTGCTAGATTTTTGTGTTTTAGGTAGAGAATTGTATGTAGTGTTTTGAAAAAGTGTTTTATGCAATTGAAAACTGAGTCAAAGGCTGAGAAATAGCTTATGGTTTTGTAGATTTGGTGTGTAGGTTTGCACTTTGAGTGAGAGGTTTCAGGGTCGGAGTGGGACTCATTTTCAGCCCTGCAGTTTCATGCCTTAGACCGGCCCACTTTAGTTCCCGACTGTCTATATTAAAATAATGTAATTAAAACCTCAGTATGTAAGTCTGCAATTGTGCACTCTTCTGTACAGCCTTGTAATTCATTGTATTTTTCAAAAATATAATTTTCTATTCAGTGCAAAAGCCGTACACAGGGTTTTATAAATACAGAGGTCCCAAAAGTGATCTTGCTAGGGGGTTCGGGGGCATATTATTTTTCCACTGTAATTGTCAAAGAACTTAGGCTATGTATATCTGTGTTAAATAGGAATCCATTGCAATAAAGTCATTCTCATTCTGGCCACAGTATGCAATAGGCTATTGCTCTCCTCTCTTATCTCCCAATCCTTCTCTTGTTCTTCTTCTCTCAGTCTCTTTATCTTTACCTGTAAATATCCCCTTCCCGAAGCTGAGCTTTGATTGATACAGTCTTTGCAAACTGATTATTTATGTCGTCGTTTAAAACTTCTATCGTAAAACAGCTGTTTAGTTTTGCCACGTACATCTTATCTCCTGAAGCGTCGCGTTGGGATTTGCGCGCGGCTCGCGCTTCTGTGAACATAAATCCTGCTTTGATCGGTCAGTCACCTCAAACATTTTGACATATCACAATTTGATAATTTAATTAATAGTCTATATTTTACTGATAACTTAAACTATGTTAAAATAAATGTTACTGGAATAATTTGAGGAATGTTTCATTTGCATAGAACGTGTTGTCTTTCTTAACGCCGTAATGCACTTTCGCGTGAAGTGCAAAATCGATTCCTGAGCAATCGATGCCAACTAATTCAGCACCTTCACTTGGGACAGCGCCTTTGTAACGTCGAAGGTAAGAGGCAGCGTCTTAAGAAGCTTCCTAAGGGACACTTCGGGGAACACACTTAGGAACACACTTAGATATATCTTTCGAGTCTTCTTAGCGCGCTAAGAGTGAGCGTTATCGGGGAACCGGGCCCTGATCCTTTGACCATATAAAAAATGTTTGTCCTCCAGTTTATATTCACTTATTCACAAAACGTATATCTATGTATAAAAGAATCCCTGCCCAAACAAGAATGATTCGGTTGGTGATCGGGGTTGACCCTCAGGTTTTGAATGGCAGTATATAACAATTATTTATATAATTCACGTTGGGTAGTTCTTTGACTTTAATGCACACCTGACCAGATGTGATTATCCTGCTTATGATCACTTGCAAGCAAGGTCGAGGTAAAGCTGTCATTGATGTTTGCACCACAAAATTTGAATGAATGTACACTCACCTAAAGGATTATTAGGAACACCATACTAATACTGTGTTTGACCCCCTTTCGCCTTCAGAACTGCCTTAATTCTACGTGGCATTGATTCAACAAGGTGCTGAAAGCATTCTTTAGAAATGTTGGCCCATATTGATAGGATAGCATCTTGCAGTTGATGGAGATTTGTGGGATGCACATCCAGGGCACGAAGCTCCCATTCCACCACATCCCAAAGATGCTCTATTGGGTTGAGATCTGGTGACTGTGGGGGCCATTTTAGTACAGTGAACTCATTGTCATGGTCAAGAAACCAATTTGAAATGATTCGAGCTTTGTGACATGGTGCATTATCCTGCTGGAAGTAGCCATCAGAGGATGGGTACATGGTGGCCATAAAGGGATGGACATGGTCAGAAACAATGCTCAGGTAGGCCGTGGCATTTAAACGATGCCCAATTGGCACTAAGGGGCCTAAAGTGTGCCAAGAAAACATCCCCCACACCATTACACCACCACCACCAGCCTGCACAGTGGTAACAAGGCATGATGGATCCATGTTCTCATTCTGTTTACGCCAAATTCTGACTCTACCATCTGAATATCTCAACAGAAATCGAGACTCATCAGACCAGGCAACATTTTTCCAGTCTTCAACTGTCCAATTTTGGTGAGCTCTTGCAAATTGTAGCCTCTTTTTCCTATTTGTAGTGGAGATGAGTGGTACCCGGTGGGGTCTTCTGCTGTTGTAGCCCATCCTCCTCAAGGTTGTGTGTGTTGTGGCTTCACAAATGCTTTGCTGCATACCTCGGTTGTAACGAGTGGTTATTTCAGTCAAAGTTGCTCTTCTATCAGCTTGAATCATTCGGCCCATTCTCCTCTGACCTCTAGCCATCAACAAGGCATTTTCGCCCACAGGACTGCCGCATACTGGATGTTTTTCCCTTTTCACACCGTTCTTTGTAAACCCTAGAAATGGTTGTGCGTGAAAATCCCAGTAACTGAGCAGATTGTGAAATACTCAGACCGGCCCGTCTGGCACCAACAACCATGCCACGCTCAAAATTGCTTAAATCACCTTTCTTTCCCATTCTGACATTCAGTTTGGAGTTCAGGAGATTGTCTTGACCAGGACCACACCCCTAAATGCATTGAAGCAACTGCCATGTGATTGGTTGATTAGATAATTGCATTAATGAGAAATTGAACAGGTGTTCCTAATAATCCTTTAGGTGAGTGTATAAAAATAACAGTAGTTCTCGTTAGTTATTTTAATATCTGTTAGAATATCTGTGAAATAAACAAGTGAAATAAAGTAGCGTGATAAGATTACATTTATTTAAATAAATTTGAGAAAGAGATGTGCATGTGAATTGAGTCTGTCCAGCATCTCTATAGCTGTGAGTTTAATTACTTCAAAACAGCTACATTATCACCTCTTTGCTGAAAAATATAACGAAGCTTTCAGTAGCATAGCTATTTTATTTATAAAATGAATGAGGCAGTGGCTGAAAATAAGTTTCTGTGCTCCTGAATGTTTCTGTGTGCATGTGCAATCTCTTACCTATAATATATAAAGCCTAAATAAAAGAAGCTCTGAGACTTTTTGCACATCTGATTCATAATACAACCTACAGAGAAGTTATCTTTGTGGGTAAATGTGTTTTCCTCACCTTGTGGTGGGTTGGAATTCCAATGGTAAACAGATATATGTGTTTATATGTATGTTAGATGACCATATATCAGATATGGGTCTGTTTTAAACCCACATTTGGAAGTGGCTAAGAACAAATGCAAAAAAATTGTATCTCGTATACATTTTTTAGTTTACATGTGTGCAACAATGTCCAATTCTTGTCAGATGTGAGCAAAACATCTGATTTTTGTGCCAGTGTAAGTGCAGACATTGAACCTGAACAGAACAGGAACAGAACAAAACTGCACATGCGCATTGGCTGGACCAACTGGAAATATAGGTTTTAAATGCTATTTGAGCATAAGAAACAAAGTTTATGGGACAGTTCGTGTCCATTATTTTTATTTTTTTGCTGATTTGAAATATTTTATTTAAATGTGAGTTTTGCCAGCAATTTTTTTTATTCTTGCATGCCTGAAAATATGATGCAAATATGGCAAATATATGAAAGAGACTAAATGATTATTATAAACTTCTAGTCAAGTTAGTTGGAGCTAAAGTCTGCAGTAATGTGGCCCACTATGAACAAGATTGGACACTCTGCAGAGACTGGGTGATCTTGTTTGTGTCTTCATGTGGGGACAAATGTCTCAAATGATAATAAACCTGAAAAACCTATAGGGACCTTTTATGAGGAAATACCTTGATGAGGAAAACATGTTTCTAAAGGGAATACAAAAATTGGTTAATTGGTTTGTTATACAATTATACAGTTGTTGTTTTTACAGTAGGCTACTTTTTTTGCTATAGCCTACAATTTGGTGGTGTTTGCAGTACAGAAATGGCTCTGTTGTGGCTTTTTCTTACCAACAAACATCATCACTGAGTAAGAGACACTCTGAATCCAATTTAATAGTTTATAAAGTATTTATTCTCTTGCAAGAGAGATCTTCGTCACCAATACACATTCGTGAGTCAGTGAGGAGAGATAAAGAGAAGCAGTGTCTGTCTTTTTTATATCTTGTGTCCTCCAAGGCCTTATTTCTGCGCTCCCCTCTCAGGAGAGATATACTTTGTTTTTCCCTATTTCTCCCTGGCCCTGAGAGGTAAATGCCCCCTTAACCCTTTAGGCTATAACAAATGCACTCAAGATGACCCCTTGACCACCTGCTTTTCCTTACCTACACTGACTCCCAACCACAGTAAATTATCACCCAAAGGCCCCCTCTCACTACATTCGTGAGAACAGATGAGGCCATCATTAGGAATCACTGAAATCAGAGTAATAATAGAAAAATTCCATAACAGCTCAAATCACCTTTCTGAATAACAGATAATGGTTTGATATTGGGAGGTCCTCTGCCTGATATAAAACATGGCATACTACAAAACATGTGTTTGTGCATTGTGCTCAGTGGTTTTTTCACTCTGTAATTATATCTGGTATCTTCCATGTGCTTTTTTCGTGACTCTGATATCTTCCATGTGCTGTGTGTGGTTCTGATATTTTCTTTGCAATGGTGTGGGTTGAGGGATAAAGATGACAGAACATGAAGCATCTGCTTTACATTGCTGAGGTGCTTTGTATGTGTGTGCTGTCTTGCTTGCTGGTTTCAGGCTGAGGGTGAGGAGTGGCAATCAGAAGGTACAAGCTCGGTGAGTTGCTTATATGTGCATGTGCATGATAGTATCGAATTGTACGATAGACTGTTTGTGTGTGTCTGCTAGTACTGTGCACCTTACACTTGCTTTATAAAGCTGTGGTTATAATTGCTTTGCATTTGTTCCGTTTATGTCCACGCTCATATTCCCTTCCATCTTCCTTTTACAATGTTCTGAAAAAATAATATCCTGATAAAGTTTAGCATTTAGTGAACCATTTTTTTTAATGTATGAACATTTATGATGACCTCTGTCATGATATTGAAAAACAACTTGATGATCAACTCAGTCTGCTTTTATTGAACATGCGCAGTTTTAGCAAAATCTCACAGTCGTCTCCAACCCCGCCCCTGTTGCCCAGCAACGCTGGAACCTGAGGCTAACAGTCAATCACTTGTACACATATCACCACAACCTCAGTGCCCCAAATATATCCATGTGTATGACTTATTTTAAAGGCAACAGATCAGTTCTTAAAAGCACAGGCACATAAGCTGATGACATTTTAAAAACACAGGAAATGGGTGGCAGGAAGACATTTTGTGAACGAATGTATCCTATACTGTTGGGCAAAACTAAACCTTTTTGTGGAAGAAAGAAAGTGCAACCAACTACAAGGATTTACAGGGTCAACAAAGCCAGATACAAAGCCTCCAGCAATGAAATTATGAAATAAATCTGCTTACAACATCAATCGGTTAAACTGCTTTTCAGTATTGGCTCAAAATCTTGACAGAGTATGACTTTACTTTATGCAATCATTATCTGTTACCCAATTAAGTTGCACTGCTTTTCACTTTTTCCCTTTTGCCTGGAAACATTGCACACAATATTGCCATAAATGTTTTCATGCTTATGACTGTAAGAATTCACACATTTTTATGAATCCATTTACAAATAAATGTTGCTTTACTGTTTAATCTACAGATTACTGAGAGGACTGAGTCTCTAAACCGCTCCATTAAAAAAAAGTAAGTAGACTTCAGAAACACACATACAGATTGAGATCAAGTTGAGACAAGTGATTTATTGTAGGACTGTAACAAAAAAACAAACAAACAACAAAAAATTCCCCTCATAGTATGGAGTGTGAGAAGCAGCAGGGGCAGGATTGATTTCTGTGCTGTGGTATGACATCATGGGTTCATCAGTATTGTCTGTTTTATCTAAACATGACACTTGAATGATTAATTCATGAAAGAACAGCTGTTTGAAACATGGTTCGCCTTTCATGCAGACATGACATGACACGTTTCTCTCTATGTATCTTTCTTCTATTCACTAAACAGGAAAAGATGAAGGATTGTTTAGTGTTTTTTTGTTTTTTTTACATGCATCTCAAAAGCCCGGCTATTCTTTTCCACATTGTTTTGTCTTGGCATGAAGTATAAACAATATACTTCACAGTGCTTTTGTTTGTATTTTACACTACTTTATGAGTCATGGTCCTCTTCATGTCACTGCTTGTTCTGAGAGCATCGGTTTCTTGGAAAACAGTGGTGCTTTAGGTAATATTTCATCTGTTTGTGAAAACAGGAACAGCATAAAGAAGACACAGCCTCCCACGATCATCTCAAAGTTAGATGGCAGATTGGAGCAGTACAACCATGCCATTGAGGTGAATTACCTTCACATGTGCTTGTATAATGTCAATTTCATAGTTAGGCTTTTTGCATATTCCTGTAAACACACCTGCACAGCTATTCTGCTGCTTTTGCATTAATTTCTTTAAACATGCAGCTCTTCTTCCCACACCCAGTGCTTACGTAAACCTGCTCTGATGTTTACCACTCTGATCTCACTGCTGGGGTGCATTCAGACACTCTGCATGCCCAGGCACCTCTTCTATTAGTCATACTGACTCAAACTATTGTGTTCTTAGCCCGTCCTCTGTTTTCCTGCCATCTAACTGTCAGGAAGTGTGTGTATAATGGATCCAGGTGTTACGCAGGTGTTTTATCACATAGTCTCTGCTGTGAATTAGATATATAATATTTCCGGTCATATTGTGTGTTTTTGTGCGTGTGCAGGAGTGCTATAAAGAGGGGAACGTAGTCAAGCTAGTGGATGTCCCAACATCACCAGAGCCTGTATCTGCTCGGAAGACCCTGTTTGAGGCGGGTGAAGCCTGGAATCAGAATTCAGCAAGGGCCGTGTCCTCTAAGGTTCATATGGTCGTGTTTATCAATAAATTATTTATGTCTGTTAAATAGTTCACCCAAAAAATGGAAATTCTGTCACAATTTTCTCACCCAAAATGTCTCAGTGTTCTTTCTTTCTTTCTTTCTTTCTTTCTTTCTTTCTTTCTTTCTTTCTTTCTTTCTTTCTTTCTTTCTTTCTTTCTTTCTTTCTTTCTTTCTTTCTTTCTTTCTTTCTTTCTTTCTTTCTTTCTCTCTCACCTTCTTTCTCACCATACAATGAAAGTCACTAGGGATCAGTGTTGTTTTAGACCCCTCTGACTGTCATTGTATGGACAAAAATATATTTTTTATTTATGTTCCACAAAAGACTCATACAGGTTTAGAACAACAATATGAGAGTAAATAATGACAGAATTGTCATTTTCTGTGAGAAGTGCCAGTACGCAAAAAAAAAAAGTGATGGTAAGCTACTGATTAAAATATAGAAGCCTACTGCGTAATTCCACGTGTTTCCTTCAGTTACAGCACATTGAGCTCTCTCGGCCACCGTAGGTTTGACACTAAAAAGTCAGTGAGTGAGTAAATGAAAGAATAAATGATGACATGTTACTCTGATTCAGGATGCGGAGGGAATGAATGTGGGCGTGACAGATCTTATTAACCAATGGGTGAAAGGAAACTCTGATGTCAACACCAAGAGCCCTTCCTCCAAAGCAGCTGTAAGTTTATATGGGTCTCTGAATGTTAATCGCATAGTTTCTTTCCTGAATCCTACTAACAGTTAATTTCCTTCTGAATCCTTTGTATCCTCTATGTTCTTTTTCTTCAACTTTAGTTCTCTTCTTTCCACTTTTTCTTGTGTCTGCTGTTCTTCTCATCTTTTCCAATAAGGTAAACAATTCCTATCTCTCTTTTTCTCCATGAGTGAGTGGATTTAGGTGGTTTCTCACTCTTTCAAAATGTCAATGGGGTCCACTGGGTTAAAGTCCAATGGCAATAAACTATTGTGGAAGAGTTTTAGAAGATTTTAAAATATCTGATGTCTGCTTTGTTTTTGGGACTTTTTGTTTTTGGACTGCTGCTGTGTATGTATATGTGTTTTCTGGATATAAATCTATAGAAAATATAAAAGATTTTGTATGGTTAAAGTTCATGCTGTGGCAGGTCATGTGATGGGAGAGATACATGAATAGCCTGTTGTTCAATGACGCCATCTAGTGGTTTAGGCCTGAACCAAGGTAAAAAAAAAAAAAAAACATTAATCCTAACTATGACATTTATTATCTTTCTTTGTGTGTGTTAGTGTCAGGATGTTAAGGCTGGTGAGGTGCGTAACATAAAATCCATGTGGGAGAATCTGGGAGACAACTTGTCACAGGATAAATCATGCGCAAAGGTACATCAAAACTCCTTGTGGCACTAAACCATGATCAACCCTACAGAAACCTTCTTCTAAACTGCTGTTAGGTTAAGGTTAGGTTAATTGTTCAAAAACAACCCATAAACAACAATCAGCATCAGTTCTTATAATTATCATTTGAGTTTGACTGTTCACATTGAGCACAGGCTCATTATTGCAGTGTTATTTTAGATGTACTTAAGTCCCCTTCACTTGGTTTTATAGGTTTAAAGGTTGTAATTTGATCTTTACCTTTTCAGGGATCATCTGGAAAAAGGTACAAATTTGTTGTGAGTGGGCATGGAAAGTACGAGAAGGTCTTCATTGATAATGACACAAACTAAGGATCAAGTAAGAAATTTAATTTCTTTATTAAATTTTTTTATTCAAAATAACAAAATATAAATTCAGCATGTTTATTACTACACAGACATAATTCATGCTTTACTAGAGTAACTAAAGTATGATAATGTGCTGTACAATAGCTTGGTTGTATACCGCTGGTTATCTACAGAAACAAACACACTAATATTAAAATACCTTCTGGGTGTACACGGTAGAGTGTGTGTATGATGATTAATTGTTATAGTATATAGTATATTGTTATTGTTATAGTATTATAGTAGTTTCTCACTATTATAAATCATGACAATATATGTGATGGTTCCATTCGTAGTGTTTATTTAGGAAATATTTAGCCAGTTCTTTTTTGCAACAGAGATCCCTGAAGTACAAGGGCTGCCAAAAGTATCATCTTATAAAGTGTCTTCTTCCTTGGAGCTCTGGGTAGTATTCAGTAAATGTCACATGCCTGCTGTCTCACCTATCAGTCTAATGATTATTTGTGACACTGAACTACAAATGAATCCATAAGCATGAAATCACTTGCAACATTTCACTAGAAATGTGTCAGTAAGAAAACATCCAAAACTCAAATGGTTTTAACTTGAAAGAAAAGTAAAAATGAACACATCTGAAACTAGTTTTTAGGGTCTTATTTCATGATCAACATATTAAGATTAAAAAAAAAATTCAAATGTCTTTCCTTCATGTTCTAGTTATACCTTTCCAATTTCCCTCTGACCTTTTTGAAATGAACAGCACTGCCATCATGTCATATCTCATTCTGAGCAGGGCTCTTGACACCGCTCAGGACGTCACATTCTGAAACTCTCTATTCAGAACACGTCTGCTTGCAACACCCAGCTTGGCTGACGTGAGCAAACTTAAACCCAGGATCCATCCACATTGCTCTCTGAGCCACTTTCCTTTTTTGATCATTCTCATCATTACGTTGCTCACTTCCTCACTCGCCACATCCCGAACAGCTGCACCTATCAGTCGCTCTCTCAATGCAGGAATGACTAGGCCTCAGTTTCTGCTGACCAGCCCCTTACTGCACTGCACTGCTCAGAGCAAAGTGCAGTGTATAGTTTGTTTGTCTCGTCGTTGATTTCATGAAGAAAACGGAAATTACATTTACAGCACTACAATACTACATAATTGGATAATTTTGTAGTTGAAATCAACTTTACACTGTACATTTGAAATTCAATCAAACATCTTCCATTATTTCTGTAGATGTACCAAATCCTTTGGCTGTTCTGTTGAAGTCTTTTGGCTCTTCACCTTTCTGTTTGCGATTCAGCAGCCCTCTTTCAAAGGCTGTAGCTATTTTGTTGAGAGGTTTCGCAGCCGCCTCCTTCAGCTTCCGGGCATCGAAGCGCGGGCTGTAGAGAAGGATGGGCAAACGGTGGACGAAGGATGGGACCAACTGGCCATCCTTCTCTATGTTTTTCCGCTCTTCCTCGGTTTTGTTGCTATGTATCTGCTTCATAATGTTCTCCTTTGTGGCAAACATATGAAAAAGTACAGCATCCCACATTTTTGTTACCTTGGGCTCATCTTTCTTTTTGACCACATCCTGTCCACCCGATGACTGTTCTTTGTCCCTTGCAGACCTGCCTTTACCACTTACTTTTATATCTGCTTTCTGAGCATTTTGCTCTGCATCAGGCTCTGGAAAACTGGGGGCATCAGGTTCAACAACCATGTGCTTTTTCAGCCTTGTCCAGCCACTGAGTTTGGCCTTCAGGCCTTTGGGTTTTTGAGCACTCTTAGGTTCATTTACTCTCTTCTGATCATGTGGTGTGGGTTCAGAGGGAGTCTCTTTGCTAAACTTGCCATCTTCAGTGGCTACAGCCTCATTTTGTCTTTCAGTGGCTAATGAATCTTTTAAACACTTTTGAGGTTTTGAGGTATCAGACTTTATGAGATCAATTTTTGAGTCCTGAGCAGTTATATGCTGTGCCTTTACATCCATATTAGATGCTCTGGCTTCTGTCTGGGATTTAACACAGCTTTCCTCAGATGAAGAGAGTGGTAGAGATTTGGCGGCCTTGAGAAGCATGGCAGCAAGACTATTTTCTGCACTTGGAGCTTTGCAAAAAGTCTTGACAATTGAACACGGTAAAGCCTTTTGAGTGTCAGATTTTACGGATTTGAACTGCACACTATCCATATTCAATTTGGTGTCCTGGGGTATGTTATTTGATGGTTTGATTGAATTTCTTAGTAATGTTGTTGAATTGTTTGATTTAGATTCCATTTTAACTTTAAATGCAGCTTTGGAATCAGTGTTGGTTTTATTGGAGACCTGTAAGTCTGATTCCAAATCTATCAATGGGTGTTTTGTAACACCACTGATGGGTATTAAGTCTTCATTGCTGTTGTCTTGTTTAGAAGATTTATCCATTGCCAAGTGCGTGACTAGAGCCTCAGAGTAAGGTGCAGGTGAAAAAAACTGTCCATCTGAGGGGATTTTGGATGATGTATTTATTTTGTTTGGAGGGCTTGGAATAGATTTCACATTGTTGTCATGTTTCTGCATCTGCTGACCTTTGGTTTCTTCTGTGTTTTGGTTAATTTTATCTTTGGATTTCAAGGAGGGAGGTGTTGAATTTGGGTTTAATAAAACTTCACTTTTATTTGCTCCTGATTTGGAGTGAATTGCCACATTAGATGCATCTGATTTAAATGTATTTTCAAGTTGAGATGCCTCGGTTTTAGAGGGACTTTTAGTATTAAATATATCTGTTTTAGGGAGCCTTGGACGATTAAATATATCTAATTTGGGCAAAACTACAGGATTGGCTGCACAAGACTTATCTGAGTCTTCATGTCTGGTTATTTCTGTCTTTGATGAGTCTGTAAAGATAGATGAACCTAACCTTGATTGAGCTGTAGATTTAGTTTCCTCTGGCTTTAAGAGGGCTGCACGTTTAATATCAGGAGGGACTTTAATGTAACTTCTGGTGTCTGCAGATGGCATTCCAGAGTCTGTGATATTGGTTGAGTTTGTTGTGATTTTATTTACAGTGAAACCTTCATTGTTGGTGTTTATGATATTGGGGAGTTGATTGCCTGTAATGATGGCAGTAGAAGAATTACAGACATTTCCTAAAGAACTTTTGGATAAACATGGCAAGGTTTTCTGCTCTTGATTTGCAGAAACGTGTGACTGCATCATTTTCACTGATGCAGAATTAAAACTTTCTGTTGGATATATAAATCTGTGTGCAGTCTCTGACTGCACTGTTTGCAGTGGGATATTTTGAACTGACAATACATTTTTTGTTAACAATCCGGTTATATTTGAGTTCTGAATATTTGATTGCACCTGGGGAAAAGGGTAAGTTGGCATTTTTTTCCCCTCTGCTGCAAAAGGAGGGGTGGGGATGTCTGTAGATCCTGAATTTAGTTGTCTAGGTGCCTCTGCTACAGCAGTGGGGTTTACAATCATTCTTAAAGGTGTAATTTGAAGCCCGTGGTACATTGCATCTTCAGGATTTAAAGCTAGAGGCCTTGGTTGTACTCCAGGGATTGTCTCTCGCTCCTTTAAACTTTGATCTGCTATTTCCAAAGTGGGATTATTGATGGTTTCGATTTCAGTTTTGCCAGTTACTAGTACCGTAGTACTTGCTTGGTTTGTCATCGTGATTTGCAAGGGCAGTGCAGCCCCTGAAGTTTTTAAAGCCTCTAAATCTGCCAAGGATTTCTCTGCATTGAAATCAGATATAATGCTAAGCCTTTCTTGAGATGTCTTGGTTAGAGTTTTGGACATGCAATTCTCATATGTCATGTTTTTAATATCTTCTGGTACTTCAGGCTTTGACACAGATTGATCACCATATGAATTCATCTTGATTCCACCATAAGCAATATATTCAGCAGGTGTCAAACCATAGTATGTTGATTTTCGTTTCGAGACGTTGATATCATTTTTCAATGGCTTCTGGTGGCCCACAAACCGTGCTGGTGGTCTTGGTGACCAATATACAGGAGTACTGGGTGTTTGGTAGTTTCGGGAAGGTGCAGGCATGGATGTTTCCTGACTTGCATCTGTTGGAACAGACTTGGCTGGTGTCATTATACAGGTTTCTGAAGTTTCAGTTTTAGTCATTGGATACTCCTGTATAACTGTAGATGTAAGCACCTCACATGCTCTAGAGCTTGACTTACTAGCCTCGGTAGGGGTCTTAGATAAGGAAACTTCACATTTAGAAATCTTTGGTGTCAAGCATTCCTCAGAATAGGCATGAAAAATGAATGGTTTGAGTCCTGTGGCAAACACAACACCATTTGGAATGGAATTCGTTAGTTTATCCACAGCATTTTTTTTAAGGCCATCATCATGATCAGCTGCTGCACTCTGAGCTTTTACACTAATCAGTGAGGGAGGTTGGAGCCATTGATTTTGAGATATGGGTCCCTGATGGTTTTCTGTAGAGACTCTTGCCTCCATTGTGGAGGATAATGTAGAGTTGAATGCAAACAAGGGTTGATTATCTGCAGAAGCTTCAAAAACAGGTCTTACTGAGCTTACATGTGTATTCATCTGACAAGGTGGTGTTTGAAATTCATACCTTGTCCCTGAATTTTGTTTAACATCTATCACTGGATTTTTTGCAATAGATGGTGCTTCTCCCTGTAAAGCAGAACCACACGCCCAGGAGTCTTCAATAGGGGGCTTTGATATCTTATAAAATGAAGTTTTTGGAGTATAAATCGTTGTTTGTGGAAAAGCAGCATTTTTCTCCATTGTGGAAGTCTTGACTTGTGACCCAGCTGTTTCCATGACGTGACTATTTGTGAGAGGTGTGTGAGTAATGAGTGCAGGTGCAACGTTTTTATATCCTTCCACATTGGATTGGCTCACTGGAACCTGAGAGATTGATGGTTGTGTCTGGGAACCCGGTGCACAGGATGATGTCAAATATGGAGCAGGAGGTCGAACTGGAGCCAGGGGGGGGGGTTGTATTTGCACTGAGGCTTGATAGGTCTGTTGTTTGCCGAATGTGCCATGCGTCATCCTTACTCTTGAGGAACTGGACTGAAGTGTTTGACTGAAGGCTATCTCAAAGGATGAATCTGGGTCTGCATCTGTGGCCTGCTCTGAGTCATCGTCAAAAAGGATTGATGAGCATGTGTATAGAGGTGCTATCTGGTGCTCCAGCGATCGGGCAGGGTAAGAGTACGACTGTGCAGACAGTGTCGGCGTGGAACTGTAGTGTGAGCTGTTGGTGGGGTAAAAGTGTGGGGAGGGGGAGTGAAGGCAGAAAGGGCTGCTGGAGGAATATCGAGACTCGAGGGTCCTGCTAAAGAGAGGGGTTTCTGGAGTCCTTGGAGGCGTGGAGTGGTCACTGTGCTCAAGGTCAGGGCTGGCCTCATTTACTGGTGACAAGTTTGACCGGAATGGGATGGGTGTCTGAGAGGAAGAGCTGACTTTCTTTTTGCCACTTTTCTTCAGGAGTTTCTGCAGACGGGCATTGTCTCGCCCTGGTTTTGGCAGTAGAGGGGGAGGGTACTGCTGTGGAAGCAGACTAGACTGACTACCATAACTTAAAGCCATCAGCATTTCAACACCTGCATTGAAAACAAGCCACAAATACTAGTATTTAAAAAAAAAAACTCCAATTCATACTGAATGCTAACTTTGGGTTTAAACTTGATCTCTATTTTTATTAATATTAACTGTGAATTTCACTCCATCGTCATGCTTAATACATGCTTAAAGAATTCAAATGTCTGGATTCCATTTTGGCTTAATTTCAATTTCTGAGTGAAAATTGTTTCAAAGTAAGCCCTACACAATTTTTTTTTTTTTTTTTAAGTGTAGATAACTTAAAGGTGCTCTATGTAACTTTTCTGCTAAAATGAATCCTTTTTTTATTGCCTGTGTGTGAAGGGGTTGTAATCACACATTGCCCTGAGGATGGTCTTTTGACCGAAAGCTTGGTCTATTAAATTTGCTTTAAGGATTTGAGTGTGCGGACAGTTTATTTATTGAGATATTTGTTGTAACCACACATTAAAATGATCCACTTCTCGAGTTTTGCTATTACCTCTGAAGGCCAGTATTCCTATTTCTATGTGAAGTCTCCGGGTCGGATTTACCGCGAAATCCAACGGATGTGACGTGCATGCGCGCTCCCGAGCCTCTCTCCTTATATACAGTCTATTGTAGACGGTCAGGGAGTTACGTCCGGTTAAAGGCGCACGTTTTTCGGCTTATATCTCAGTCAATCTTTGATCAATATTCCCAAGACTCTAATCGTTCGTAGTGCTGGACGGGGCCTTTCGAACGAGCCCAACCCCAAGGTCCAACTCGCCCGGCTCCCCGAGTTATAGCCGTTCGAAATCGGGGGTCCCAGCGAACGGCGATCCGGTAGGGGGCATCCCCGAGGCCCGCCACTCTAGCGTTCGGGCTAGGGTTCCCTTTGGACCTCCTCCCCCGAATTTGAGCTTTCTGGGTCTTTGCGTTCCAGAGATACGAACGATTTTCTTCTGAGATCGTGACGTCACCGGCGTCCGCAATTTTGCAGCGCGCCCGATGGTTTTCTGCTAATATCTCCGCGAAAACACCACCAAAAACTATGGACCTTATATGGTTCTTTTCAGCTCGACTAGATGGTCCCAACAAGCTCGGTGCTCGCCGAATCCGTCTAGTATTCGCCGAGATATTTGCGTAATAGACGGTATTGTCTATGAGTTTGAGCACGAGCGCTCTTGTAAAATTTGGTTGCAATCTGAAACATCACCACTAGAGGCCGCTAAAAGTTACATAGAGCACCTTTAAATAACAGTGTTATGTATTTGAGGCCTATCGTATGTCCAAACCCAGAAGCTAATTTGAAATTTAATTTTTACTTGAGGGTTACTTGCAGGGTTTACTTTTCACTCTTAAATTAATATATATATATATATATATGTGTGTGTGTGTGTGTATGTATGGATTTATGATTTTATATATATTGATGTGGTTAATGCAAAATAACTGACCTCTCTCTATCTCTCTTTAGCTGGCTGCTGGACACATATGTCTGAAGACAGGATGCTGATGTGATCACCGTCCTTCAGTTATTGCACTGTTTAAAAAAAAAAAATTTAAACCCACTAAATTTGAAAAAAAAAAATGCATTTTAATTGCTGCCTTACATTTTAAGTAAAATCAAAGTGGTGCCAAAGCCACAATCACTTTGAATGATTTTACTGATGAAGAACATCATATAATTGGGTAAAAGTGACAGAAATTATTGTAACAAGTTACATATTTTGGAAACAAGGATGCTGTTTTAATCACAATTGACAGTTACAGTGTGGTTATTAATTACAATAACATCACATTAATGTGTCAAACCTTAAATCAGAGGTGTTCAATCCTGCTCCTGGAGAGCCACAAATTTAGTTCCAAGTTCCAATACAACTTCCTGCCTAAAAGTTTGTAGTGTTCCTGAAGACTTTGATTAGCTGGTTCAGGTGTGTTTAATTAAAGAGCTAAACTCTGCTTGGGAACAGGATTCAACACCTCTTCCTCACCTCTTAGGATTTTTGTGTAAACAAAAGTAATTTACAGAAAGTAAATTCTCATAAATATATATATATATACATTTTGTCAAAATGTGGAATGATTTCTTTATAGCTGATACAAATTTTCTTTTAGTTTAAATAGCGTTTTCATTCTGAGCATTCTTACTCTCGATGTCCTTCTCTCAATTAGTTTTCTTTACTCTCTCATGATTTTCTTTTAGAATATTGTCTCCATATAAGTGAGTAATATTGTTAAGTATAGCCTTACACAGTCAACACATGTAAACCAATCAACCAAACATCTGTGCAGTGTAAGGTGTATTTGTCACAAATAAAACTCGTCAATTTTCAGGTAAGTGTTTTGTCTCTTTGTTCATCCATACTGTTGAAAATATGTCCTCTTCAATTCCATATAGAATATACATGGTAAGTTGTAGAATGTCTTTCCATGTATATTCACATTTAGACATCCTGCAGTTCACAGGCGTGTCAAAATACCGTGATTTTGTTTACCATGAACAAGTTTTTTTTTTTTTTTTTAGGGAGTTTGTCCTCTGTTAATAGGTTAATAAGCATACATGACCCTTACATATGACAGAATTTATTAAATTCAAATTCACCATTATACAGAATATCCCAAAAGTCTGGTCAATATTGTAATATTCTTGCATGTACATACAGTCTGTGACTCCCTCTGTATCTGGGTTACTTTAGTATCTGTGTGTATTCTAGTGCCTGTGTGACAGTAGTATCCTGAAATGTGATCTTGAGCTGCTCTACGTTTTATTTTTGCCAACTGAAAGACTGCACATCCTGGAACCACAAAAAGATAAACACTGCCCCAGCCTCAATACTCACACAACAGCACAGAGCTGGAAATTACACTAACTTTCATTAGAATGCATTTAATAGTTATCTTATAATACATAATATAATTATAGTTTTTTTTTAATCTTGTATTACTGTGTATCTGGTTGACAAACATTTTAACCTCAGTGATCTAATTCCCTGCCTTTCCTTAGACGTGTGAGATGTCTGAGTGCTGAAGACCTGAGATATGCCTGTTTGATTTAGGCTCTTTTAGCATAACACCTCTGTAATATTAACAATTGAAAGACTTCATGCTAAATCGTTGTACTGTTCACTATTGTGTATTGCAACACATACAATTGCTGTATTTTGTTTTTTTAAATTAAATACTTCAGGTAGGATGATCGCGCTATAAGCATTCATGAGACTTACAGTGAGGCCAGAAGAGAGAGATGATGCTGATCTGCAAAAGATATGAACAGACAGATAGGAAATTAATATCAGTTAATAAGTACTGTGAAATACAAATACAAGGTGCACACTGGCCAGTCATATTATATATGCCAAACAAAGATCTTAAATGACAAAAGCAGCTTTCAATGGTTTTAAAGCAGGCACTTTGACACTAGTGCCAGTTAGCACAATGAGCAGAGGCCTAACGTCTCTTACAGACACATGCACAAGACAACCACTTACAGATCACAGACACTGTTAATGAAAGCTAAACTGCGTTTTTTGTTTTTACCTGTGCAAGTATTGCTGTATAATTAAGTGTGCGTCTGCTGGGTCCAACTCCGTGCGAGTGTGGAGGGGGAAGATTAGTAGAACAGAGCAACAGGACATGGTGACCTACCCCCTTTCCATGCCAAAAATAAAACTCATCGCCCCGAATTCAATCTTCGCTCTGACAGCCAGTGAGATGTAACCAGCAGGGGCTTTCCACTTCACCTGAAACATATGACAGGCCCAGTGCATGTGTTATCAAAAGTCTTTCTCATTTGCTATCTTTGAATGCATTATTGAAGGCATGGAATTACTGTGTTACATGTATGCAGAGGTAATATTTTTAATAGTCTGCTGATACATTTTGGTTGTGGCATGGGTGCAGATTCGCATTTAAAATCGACATGTTACAGTTTCAATAGTCTCTTGTGACATACACTCACCTAAAGGATTATTAGGAACACCATACTAATACTGTGTTTGACCCCCTTTCGCCTTCAGAACTGCCTTAATTCTACGTGGCATTGATTCAACAAGGTGCTGAAAGCATTCTTTAGAAATGTTGGCCCATATTGATAGGATAGCATCTTGCAGTTAATGGAGATTTGTGGGATGCACATCCAGGGCACGAAGCTCCCGTTCCACCACATGGTCAGAAACAATGCTCAGGTAGGCCGTGGCATTTAAACGATGCCCAATTGGCACTAAGGGGCCTAAAGTGTGCCAAGAAAACATCCCCCACACCATTACACCACCACCACCACCAGCCTGTACAGTGGTAACAAGGCATGATGGATCCATGTTCTCTTTCTGTTTACGCCAAATTCAGACTCTACCATCTGAATGTCTCAACAGAAATCGAGACTCATCAGACCAGGCAACATTTTTTCAGTCTTCAACTGTCCAATTTTGGTGAGCTTTTGCAAATTGTAGCCTCTTTTTCCTATTTGTAGTGGAGATGAGTGGTACCCGGTGGGGTCTTCTGCTGTTGTAGCCCATCCGCCTCAAGGATGTGCGTGTTGTGGCTTCACAAATGCTTTGCTGCATACCTCGGTTGTAACGAGTGAGTGGTTATTTCAGTCAAAGTTGCTCTTCTATCAGCTTGAATCAGTCGGCCCATTCTCCTCTGACCTCTAGCATCAACAAGGCATTTCCGCCACAGGACTGCCGCATACTGGATGTTTTTCCCTTTTCACACCATTCTTTGTAAACCCTAGAAATGGTTGTGCGTGAAAATCCCAGTAACTGAGCAGATTGTGACTGACGGCCCGTCTGGCACCAACAAGCATGCCACGCTCAAAATTGCTTAAATCA